CTTGCTTTCCATATATTTGACAGTTTGGAATTGTTCCAAATATTGGAACCCCAGGATGCATGGCTAATTTGAATTGTTCTAAAGGGACAGGTACTGCTGTTCTCAACATGTCACCCTTTTGAAACAAAGAATTGTGGAGGCAATTGAGGCAAGATGAGACTAAAATTCAAAAATTAAAGTGTTAAGATAGATGGACTGTTCTGTACTATGCAAGGAGCCCAGGGATTAATATTAGAGAATTCATAACCCTTTGCTACTTGATCCATTTTTAAGATGCAATGTTAGCTTGTGTTCTCAATGGCATTATCAAAGTAGTATCTACAGAAGCTTTGTTGACCTCTAACAGGGAGTCTCAGTATCAGTTAATTCCAAGAAAGAAAAGCTAAAGTGGAGGATTAATTATGAGCCACCACTAATTAAAATAAAGCAGGGGGGAAAACCTTCTTTTCCTTGACCAAAATCTGCCACTCACAAATCTGGGAAGTAGCATTCTGAGAGAAGTGTTAATGATTTAAACATCTTTCACTATTTCTTTTGGGGTATTGAATTATGTGGCTGGGAAATATTAAGGGTAATAACATGGGGAGACCAGCTAGCAGGAGATGTAGTATTGTAGGATTAAGGCACGGGAAAGAATGATCAGGCATCTTAAAACCATTCCATCCTATGATTGGTCCCTAAGTCAGATGGTCTCTTTTGCCTTTCCAGTGTGCCTTCCTCAGATCTGCTGGTTCTGCTATTGAAGGGTTTAGTCCAACATGAAATCTCATTGATCCATGATTTGACTATGGATAAGGAAGTTGGTCTGGCCTGTACTTTGGAGACCTGTACTATGTGAGGTGTGTGGGATTAGTTTCACCCAAATATGTCATCTCAAGCCTTTGGTTTAGTGCCAGCAAAGACATGACAAAGTAGGCCACCGGGGCCTACAGCTGAGGTCACATGTACCCCTTAAAGCAGCTCTAGGGAGGATGGAGAGGGAGAATACATACTTGAGTATTTGTTTCTTAGTCTGGATTCTTGCTTGGATTGGGACAATTTACCAGGCTTATCATGATGTCCAGTGATCTCCCTACCAGAGGTAATAGAAGTAGTCTCCGTTCTGATCCTAGAGTCCCCAGAGAAACAGAGTGCACATACTGGGCTACTGGCCCCAGATGTGGGATTAGGAAACTAATTCCTACTCCAACCGTCAACCCCAAAATGCTCCAGTGTGATTGTCCTGGTGGATGATAACTTCCTTACAGGGGTCCATTTAATCCAGGAACCTTAGTGCTTCATAACCATATCAGTTTATTTGCTGCTACTATTATCATTCAGAGGCTTAAATTCTGTTGCTTGACCTAGTAACCCATGTCTAAAATAGGCCCATTGAATCAGTGGCAATTGGGTGAGTCAACTTCTCCATTAGTTCAATTGATTCAAATGAGACTACTCTAGTTGTGACTTACTTTCAGTGGAACCTACAAAGGAGTTTACTCACCGAATCCCTACTGATTCAGTGGGCCTTTTTTAGACATGACTTAGTACACAACAAGATTTCAGTCATAAAGGGACTCCAGGTCTGTGGGCTATTTAATTTGCCTTAACCTTGATTTTGTACATTAGATTTAAACGTTTCATGGGCCTTGTAGACTTTGGTCTGGTGACTGCTGCTTTAGTGTTTGGATTGTTTTATATGTTTACTGTATTTTATTATGCTTTTATAGATTTCATTGTTAGTAGTGCTGTGCTTTGCTGTGGGTCATGTTGTGGCAGAGAATATGACTCCTACCTTTTAGAAAAATAAATATATGAAACAATAATAAATAACATTTCCCTTTTAGGCCCCTTAAATCCTTTTAGTTGGCTTCTGAACCCATTCCAATTTGTTCAGAATTGTCACTGCCGGATGTGTGTGGTACTCCAATATGGTAGAGACTGATAACTGAGAGGATATTGCGGCTACATTCATTCTTTTCATCTAAGCTTGTTCTATTAAAATCACAAATAACAACTGATTGGGAACAGACAAAGCTTTGTTGGTATAGAGCTTATTCAAGTTCAGAAGAGTGTGTGTTGTGGGGGTTGGCATTCACATGCCCGTGACTAATAGTGAATATGCTTCTGATCTGTTATACTTGGACTGGGAATTCTTAGAACTATTTCTTCCTTGAATAAAGCTGTGCAAATGGAAAGGCCTGACTGACTCAGCAACTGATGCCATTGTTGTGTGACTGTGGCCTGTTCAAAGATTGCATCATCTGCATTTTCCCCAAAAGAGTAATCAAAATAATTAGACATAATGAGTACAAATTATTGTAGTCTAAAGCCTAAAAATAGGAATATATGTGTATGTGAATGCATAATTTTTGTTAATTACTATCACCCAGTTAATGGCTTTAATTGTCCCGGAAGAGCAACAGAGCTGTCTAAACTCTCCATGTCTTTGCTCCAAACTTGAAGACTTTCTTAAGCTCAAGGTGTCAGAAACAATTTAGGTGTGACACTACATATAATCATATTCCTAAAACTCTACTCATAAATGAGTATTTATCAGTATAAATGAGCTAAACTGTAAGTGGCATTGCAGCCTTGAGACATGATTGGCTAACTTTAAAATTTTTCATTCCTAGTGATTTTCATTAGAATCACTGGTTAATGTTATCTGGATTGCATCCTGAGACATCATAGTGCCATAGGAATGTCTTTAGCCACATTGATGGACAACAAATGCGGTTGTTTCTATGAGAATGCATGATAGGATTCCCGTGGCTTATATGATCCTCATTGCCTTTCTTTGCCTATGAGAGGAGAAGCAAAAGGGGAGTCCATGAACTCTAGGTTCATCCCATGGTACAGTATATATCCATAATAACAAACCATGACCTTGTGTTGCATTGTTACAAGATTGTCTAGTTTGACCCTGGACTGTTTGTATCACATGACCCTGGTACCCCTGGACTATCTCCATTCCTCCTCTACTGTGTCTGCTAAGTCATGGCTTAGGCCAGTGGTTCCCAGCCTTGGATCTCCAGATGGACTAAAACTCCCAGAAGCCTTCACCACTAACTGTGCCATCCAGGATTTCTGGGAGTTGTAGCCCAAGAAGCTCTGGGGACTCACAGTCAAGAACTACTGGTCTAGGCAATCTAGGAAGAACAGTTTATGACAGCTGAGGAAAGATTAAAGCCACTCTACTAATAATCACTAGAGCTGGTGGACCAGATACTGATTATCACCAAACCAAGGTATGATCAGTCACTTGTTGTTGGCCACTATTCTCTGTGTAATTTCCACTCATAGAGACTTTTGCCTCCTCTTATTTTACAGGACGGAAAGGTTGGTCCTAACAGGCACACAGGCTCTGTTTCCTGTTTTCTGTAGCAATCAGCTACTAGCTTCTGAGATGCTGAAAGGAGTTTTTTGTGGTCTGTTAGTCACTTCAAATCAAATACAAGCAATTCATTGAAATCACACTTGGAGTCTCAATAACTGAAAGTACTGTATTATGAACAAGCATGAGCCGCAGCCTGGATATTTTGTTTAAAAAAAAGTTCCCAAAATACTTCCAGTCAATGTCAACATATCTAAAGCTTCTGCTGAAATCCACAGGACACTGTTTAAGAGGTAAACATTACTTTCTCGGTTCATCTTCATACAGTTAATAACATACACTGTTCATTTTAAGTACTGCTGATAATTTTTGATAAGAATTTAACCAGCTTTTTGCTGTCTAAAAAAGTTAAACAAGATGTTTGAAAATTTACAAATGAGTGCACAGTGTTTAGCTTCCTATTGAAAAGAAGTAATAGAGTCATTTTCTGAGCTCCCAAATTGAGGAAGTTGCAAGGAAAACATGTGGCAATTACTCAGATCTCAGATCTTTCTGAAATGGGTTCCAAATCTGCAGACCACAGGACTGTTAAATATGAAATGTACACATCTAGTAACCAAGTAGAATAGAGGGAAATCATGTTACCTAGTTTATGTTCTGTTATGCTAAGTTGCTTCCATCTTATAATGACTCGAATTAGTTTTACAAGGTATGTGAGGTGTACAAGGAACAGGTGTACAAGGAATCATTGCCACCCCTAGTGTGTTTCCATGGCCAATCTAGAATGTGAATCCAGGTACTCGTTTAAAATTCTTGGTATTTTATACATAGAGGTATTAAGAAAATATAGTCCATATTACCTGGTCTAATTCATTGTGTTTATGTCAAACGAACATGGTAGCTCTAGCCTAGCCATTATAACTAAGATGGATGACACAAGTACATGATCCATTCATCTGCCACAAATTCAGCAGATGGCTACTCATCTACATGGGCTTGGATTCTAATATAAGCCAATGGAGCAAAGTTGACAGGAGGAAAGCTTTCACCCTGTCCTTCTCCCTACAGCTTTCTGCCCTCCCAGAAGACTCTCTGAATGGTTGTGAGGGAGGTCCTGAACAAAGTGAAATGGAGCAAAAGGGGCTGCTGGGCAGGAAGGAGCAAATTAGTCCAACCAGGATGGGCCTCCATCACTTTTCAGAATTCTCCATTCTCTCAGCATCTCCTTGCACCTTACCTTAGATTGTTCAGGAAGGTGCCACAATTGTCAGGTAGGTCCAGAGGTCACAGATAGCATCAGGAGGTAGGAGGGGATAGGAAAATTTCTCAGTGCAAAAAGACCCTTCCATCTTGGGATCCATGCCAAGGTTTTCTCGTGCTTTTACTTCCCCATCCAATAAAACCTAAGAGGTTTTCAAAATTCTTTTCAAAATTACTTCTATCATACTGCCATGCTCCATGTTTTTTATTTTCTTCTACTCTTTTTATTGTATTATAATTTTATTCCCACTTCACTTTATGATTTTTTTTTATTTTCACCCCATGTATTAATGACGCTATTTGCTATTTTGTTACTCTGTTGTTGTTTTTTGTTATTTGTTGTAAACCACCCAGAGTGGCCTTGGCTGCCAGATGGGTGGTAAACAAACAAAAAAAACAAATAAACAAATAAATAAACAAATACCTGTTAAAGCTCTTAAAATCTGGCAGTTCTGGTTTTGCTTCTGGCTTAAACAGTTTAGGGTATAGAGCCTCCAGCAGCTCAGGGTCATTGCTGATGGCTTCTATCCAAGGTGACTGATAGTACTTTGGCACAGATGTTGTGTTGAATTTCTCAGGAGGGATGGTCTTCAGTGGTCCAGAATATCCTTTGGGAACAAAAATTATATGTCATGTTTGTATTTTAGAGCAGTGGTCTCCAAGTTCTCTTAGAACGATAAATATATACATTGTATTCGCGAAGGCTTTCACGGTCGGGATCTAATGGTGGTTGTGGGTTTTGCAGGCTCTTTGGCCATGTTCTGAAGGTTGTTCTTCCTGACGTTTCACCAGTCTCTGTGGCCGGCATCTTCAGAGGACCTCTTGTGCTCTGAGAGCCTGAAAAACCCACAACAACCAATGTATGCATTCATTCTTGCAACATCTCCTAAGTACCAAATATCATTCTGATCATGAGGGTAATTTGTTGCGTTATGAATGTGTTGCATTTTCCTTACCAAGAGCCTCGTGGCGCAGTGGTTAAACCGCTGTACTGTAGCTAAAACTGTGCTCACGACCTGGGGTTCAAATCCCAGGTAACCGGCTCAAGGTTGACTCAGCCTTCTATCCTTCCGAGGTTGGTAAAATGAGTACCCAGCTCGCTGGGGGGGCAATGTGTAGCCTGCATAATTAAATTGTAAACCACCCAGAGAGTGCTTGAAGCGCTATGGGGCGGTATATAAGCAGCACGCTTTGCTTTTTTGCTTATCATAAGGCCAGAAAACATATTAGGACATACCCTCCATTTCTGATTTCTCCACCTTGTACAAAAAAACCGAACAAACACATAAGACAAAACAGAGGGGGAAATACTTCACTTATCTTATATCCTTACTGATATAAGGATAACATAATATCTGAAAAATTGCTGTCAAAATGTATCTAAAAATGAGTTTAAATGCCCTTTTAATGTAATTTTTGAAAGTAACTAGAAAATGTTGATTCAAAACTTCTAAACAGTAGCAGTATGTTACATTACTTTACCCTAACTTTGTAACTAACCATTGCATTACTCGTTACCCAAGATGTCTACTTACAAGTGACTTTGTTACTGCTTGGGTAAATTTCCAAGCTATTGTACCAACTAAGGCATTATGAATAAATAGCCAATTAAGATCAACAACCATGACGAGCAAAAGTGCATAAAAAATCAGATAAGACAAACAAAACCAAAGTGAAATATTTTGACATAAAATGTTAACTTCTGCCACCAGCCCGGAATGAATCACCAGGCTTGTAAGAACACACAAAAATTCTGTAATATGAAATGCTAGTGCTATGCTTTTGAGGTAATCTTAGTGAAGACAGTGGGTTAACCTTGTCCTTAATTACACTGGTCTGTTGAATCTGTGACCGTGCACAGAACAGATTGGTTCATTTTTGTGATATAATAAAAGTTACATTTCATGGAACTGTTTTTAAAGAAACTGATTGTAAAACTTGAGGGGTTTACAGAAATAATAAATTGGCAAACAAATTGATGAATCAGATTAGCTTGGAAGGAACTTGAAAAAATAACATGTAAGAAACGAGCAGCCTGCCTGAAATAAGAGGAAGGAACAAGGAGAAAGAGATTTTTGAAAGAAAATGTGGATTCTTTGGAGAGATGAAAACGGAGACTGAGGTTTGATTTGAGCTCTTTTGGACTATAACTGACCAGACTGACTGAGGGATTCTGGAAAGTTGGGTTTAAAAAAAAAACACTTTTGTCTGGGGAGCCAGAATCAGACTACAACGAAAACACATCAGCGAAAACACATCAGCAGAGACTCCCATTTCACCATATCACTATGCTCCAAAATAGCATTGAGTAAATCCATATAGTATCCAGACTATGTATCTAAGAGAGGAGTAAAACATTATTTTAACATGCACTCATATTTTCAAAATGTTTATGCAGATAGGTAGCTACAACCTATTTAAATTACACACATGATGAGCAGTTAATGGAAATTTTGAGATAACATATTTAAGGACACTGTTCAGCTTATAGGGACGTGAGAATTGTATTGGAGTTGGTCCCACGATCTATGAAATGTGTACATCATTACAGAACAACCCTAGGTCGGTTTACTCTGAGGAAAATCCCATTCTGTTGGATGGGATTTTACTCTTAGGAAAGCATGCAGAGGCTTCCAGTTTTTATTCTATCTGTTCAAAAATATTGTTTGGACTCCATTATGCGGTGGTCACAGAGTCTTTGTTCACTGTATAAATTATTTCCCACAGATTCGTCAGCTCTTGTTTTTTAAATGGGGGTGGGGGGGGAGGTTCTTTGGAGCTCAGTGACTCTGGATAAAGGAAACAAGTGTCCTTGCAGCAAAGAAGTTTACACTACAGCAGAAGATGGTTTTGGTGCCAAAGAACAAAATGGTCCTCTCAGTTACCCTTGTATAAAAGTTTTTGTTCAAACTTTATTTTACTTGACTCAGACTTGCAGATGAGTGCTAAATATGGTATCAATGGTTCTGTCTGTTATCTCCTGAAAGCAGTCCAACAGACTGGCACAGCCTGTTACACATGACATTGGGCTGTATAATGTCCCTTGACCTAGAAAAATCATTTGTTATGGTTTCATGAAACAAAGCAATTTAAAGTTTGCTAGAGCTAGGTCAAAGCAAGTTGTGTCAACATATAATCTTTTCCAAATATGAATGCCCCAGATTTTTATTTTCAAGCTCCAGAAACCCGAGCAAGCAGCTTACTTAGTCCTCAGAGATTCTGGTTGTTTGGGAATCCAAAGATGGAACCTAAGTGCTAAATCTTAAAGAGCTATGTCAAATATACTTGAAAATCTAATTGAACGACAGCATTTCAAGACAAAGGATATTTTCTATCTGTTTGTTTTTTTGTTACATTTACAAACTGGCTTTCCTCCAGTGAGCTCAGGGCTCTGTAAATGGTCTTCCTCTACCCTCCCCAACTTCTATTCCTCACAGTCCTGAGGCACATCAGAGAGCATTCCTAGCCACGGTCACCCAGTGAGTTTGTCAGTTTAGGGAGGACTTGGATTTGAACTTCTCAAGTTCAAATCCAACACTACACCAAGCTGGGTCTTCAAAGTTATTCTTCAACTTATTTTGCCATAATAAATACATGGTAAGAGTTTTGAGCCCTTCCTCAAGGCCATACATCCCTTGCAGAGCTCATTCCTTTCACAGCATGCACAACCTTTTGTCCTCAGAAAAGTAATACTCTGTCTCCAGCCAGTGCAACCACTGCTTTTCTAAGGGCAGCTCATTTGCACTACTGGGAGATTAAAACACATTATGTAAATACTCATGTTCTGTGAGTATGCTTGAGTTCTTTCTTTAAGAATAAAACATCTGTTTTGCTTATTTTGTGTATTTTCCTTTAGACAGTGAATCAAGAGAGTGGGGGAATGGCCTGTGCAAATTCGTGAGTTCAAAAACCATGTCTTGTTTTGGAAGGTTTGAGAGCTCTAATGACCTACTCTAATGTAATATTAAGAGGCTCTACCGTGAATGAGGAAATGGAATCATGGGTTCAGCAACTGGATCTACCCTACATACCTGGTGAGCTTACATAAGTAACAGTTTTTTTTACTAAGAACACGATTGTGGTATGAATTACTTCAATAACATAAGTGAAGCACTTAGAATGTCTAAAGTGCTGTATAAATTTCTGTGTCTTCTTTTTAAGATACGTATGTATTAGACTGATACCCTGTGCCATATTGAACTCCCTTCCAAGCTTCTAACCAGCTCAAGTCCATGTAAGTTCAGTTTCAGCATTGGTTGCTTACAGATGAATTCCCTGACACATTTTAAAAACAGATTGGATTTAGTCGTTTAGTCGTGTCCGACTCTTCGTGACCCCATGGACCAGAGCACGCCAGGCCCTCCTGTCTTCTACTGCCTCCCGGAGATTGGGAGGTCATATTTTCAGGTTGCTAGAAGTGTCCAGTACAATTCTGGTGCAGTACGAGAATCGTACAGAATCATAATATACATTCAGCCCTGGCTGCGTGTTCCCACAGGTTATTGACTGTGATGACATTACTTGTTTTTACATGCTCCTGTAACAAACCTATGAAGATGCTTTATAATTATTCAGCCCACCCATCCATCCAACTCTGCACTGCTTGCTCTGACCAACATCAGCTATGATGTTATCCCTTATTCTTGCCAAAGAACTTTCTGAGGATCTTTCCCATCACCTGGCATCAGATCTTCCCAAGTGGAGATGAGAAGAATTGTATGCAGGGTATGTCTTCTAACCCTGGGCTACAGTCTCCCCCTATGGCGGTGTGTTAGTATGCTTCTCCAATTGGTAGTTGAAATGATGGTACAGTATTGTTTTCTACAGGAAGGCAGGCAGGAAGATGTTCACATAGAACACTATACTCAACTACTGCAGGAGGACATTGGACATTGCATTGCTGATGTTTCATCAAAGTTAAAGCAATTACAGCATTATGGACAAAATCTTGTAACTATGGTAAACATTGTGTAAAAGGACTGCATTTTCCTTTTTTCTTTTCTTTTTTGACATAAGCCATATCACAAGTGTAATAAGTACTGCAACTTCTCTTTTTTTATTTTTCTACCTTAGTGTGCAAGTAGATAATTTGACCAGACCTGGGAAGAAATGTCTAAACCACCTTGGCTCCTTTTGGGGAGAAAGGCAGCATAGAAATATTTTAAATAAAGAAATAAATAATGAGTAATATTGGTTCTTAGGGTGCTTGAATAATTTTGCCAGTTCTTCTTAATAAAACAAGAAGGGATCTGGTTGAGAATCTATTGTGTATGGCTTACCTGGGGCAATGGTTTCAGGGTTCGGTGGGTTCCGTGGATCGGGTGTATTAGGAGGTGTTGTTGGTGCATACTGCTGGCCGGCTTCCATGCCCCCAGTGTCTAGTGGAACACACTGTATGACTTCGCTGCGCTGTATTGGAATGGGAAGAAACAGCACAGCTATCAGGTACACAATAAAGAAGTGCCAAAAGACAACAGAACAGTGTCTCTGAGCTGCATGGGTTTCCTAACTGGGAAGCTGAAGTAACAGCTGTTCTGTTAAATCTTAGTTGTTTTCTGCTTTTTGTCTTTTCCATTTGGCACCTCATGCTCACACGTCCCAAAGCGCCCTGATGGTGCCAGTTGGTGAAGTATGACTCTTGCTTTAGAAACATGGAACGAAGATGCCACAGAGATTAACCGGCTTTCTAAAGCTGGAATAGAAAATATCTGGCAAGCTAGGAATGATAGACCTCTTGTACTTTTGCAGATGAGTTATCTGAACGAGAATATCCTTTTTCCTGTGGCCAAGGTTGTTAGATGCCCTTATTTTAGAGTACTGTACTCACTGTCCTCAAAAAGACAAAGGATGCCCATTCTGCATTGGAAAAGCACTTGTGAAAAAATAATTCTGCTGCCCATCTCAGTGCTTTCCCCACCTGGATTAATTCACTGCTTCTAATATTTCAAGAAATAAAAGGTAGCTTTTTGATTTACTTGTTGCTTCTTAAACTACCTTCACCCCAATGAACCTTGGTATTAATGAGAGAATGGCAAGAAAATGTGAAAAAATTATACTTGAAAGGCCTCTAAAAGTACTCTTAAATGTAATGGGTTAAGAAAATAGAGGTGTGGTGTAGTGGATTAAGTGTCAGACAAGGCTCAGGAGTTCCAATATCTGCTGGTCCATGGAGATTCATTGATGGTGGTGGAGGAGGAACTGGTAAAACCACTCCTGAAATATCTCACTTACCTTGAGAGCCCTTATTAGGGTCACTATAAGTTGGTTCTGACTTTGTGGCACATAATAAAAAGAAGAAACTACAAAATTTAGTCCTTACATGGACATACCAATATAACATAATTCCTGCATGTTTCACTACCCCACATTGTTAAAAAAAAATACACAACGTTTCACAGGTAAGGAGCCTCATGGTGCTGTGGTTAAACTGCTCTACTGCAGCCAAAACTGTGCTCACGGCCCAGGGTTCAAATCCCAGGTAGCCAGCTCAAGGTTGACTCAACCTTCTATCCTTCCAAGGTCAGTAAAATAAGTACCCAGCTCGCTGGGGAGGTAATGTGTAGCCTGCATAATTTTATTTATTTAATTTAATTAACTTGTAAACCACATAGAGAGTGCTTGAAGCACTACGGGGCGGTGCAAAAGCAGCACACTTTGCTTTGCTTTGCTTTTATTTGTGACTTATTATTTCAAAACTTTTTCTTTAAAGGAACCACAGAGCACTCCAATGTCCACGAGTTTGAAGTTGTCTCTGAAAGAGCTCAGAAGCTGGACTGCTATAGCTATTAAAAAAAACCCAGCCGATGCAAGCCAATGTTACTGGTGTAACAGAGTAACGGCCGTGGGAGATCAGGATTGTAGATCCGTGTAGGAAGGGAAGGCATTCAAGTATTTTAGCATAGTATAGCCAAATCCAGGTGTTTAAACAGCAGGGGTATTCAGTGGTGTAGTATCAAACTTGGAAGTGAAGGTATTCATTGCAACCATCCCCATAGACACTTTGTTCCATAAGGGAGAGTCCAAAATACAGGCCAGTGGATTAGTGCATGGGAATAATAATGCAGCAGGGTTTTAAAAAAATGTAATGGCTCTAAATTGCCCAATCAAGATCAAACCATCCTCAAATATATTTTGTTAGAATAGGATTTTTTCGCAAGGATATAATGTTCCCAGGAAAATCCACTTCTAGCTATATTGAGAGGTCTCCAGCTAAGCTCCAAGGTAAGAAGAAAAAAAAACCTGGAGAGGGCTCCTGGTGATGATGTCACAGTCCCTGCTGCTCAAAAAATCCCAGGGTTCTGTCCCTGCAAGCTTTAACTCCATTATGAAGCTGTCTATACCCTATGAAAAATGAGGGGAGTGCATTAGCGCTGTTCCTTCTCTTGCCTTCTTTGCAAGAGAAATCAGCTACTTTACTGTAACCACTGAGTCTGTAACACAGGACCATTTGGGGGTCTGGCTCTTGTATAGCGTCTCTGGAATTGGAATCATTAGCTTAAGGAGAGGAAACACATGACCCTCTAAATGTAATTGGACTGAAATTCCCATCAGCTGTAGCAAGGCTTCCTCTTCAGAGAATTGGCTTTGCATGAAGAAATGAATGATGGAGGAGCAGGGCTCACAAGCTCCCCTTGTCACTTGTGGAAGACCCAGGCTCTTACTGGTATTCTAGACAAGTTGAAGTGTCCTGATTGTAAGCTCACTTGTGCTAGATGAAAAGTGATACATCTCCCAATGCCCTCCTTTCCTCATTACTGTAGACCTGACCCCTATCCTTCCCTGCTGCAATTCTTGCTTACAGTGGAAGAAAAAGATGCCTTGCAGGATACATTTATATGTCTCTTTTATCACACTTACAATGCTTGAGCAGACCTGTGCATGCAGATGCTGGCCTTGGGGATTCTTTACTTAAAGAGCTTAGAGCTCTTTCTCCTGCACTATCCCTAAATGGCCTTCCTGACCCAATGAACTTAAGCTTGCTATTTCCAGCCAATTATGACATTCCAGAGTAGCTACTCCTGTTTAATAGCCAAAGGCTCAGCACCAGACTGCTGCACTATGCTAGCATAAATTACCAATTATTTTCATACATTAGACACCTACTGAGTCATACTTATACAATGTACATAAAGAACTCCCCCAATATCATCTCAGATGTGCAGTCACCACAGTACAGGCCGCTTCATGATGGCTAATAATAGGCTAGAGTTATCCACCCTTTCTACTGGGTCATTAGTTCCAAGATTCCATCCTAAGCCTTAATCATTGTTTCTTTAACATAGAATTAGAGCTGTCTATAACACCAGAACCTTATTTTAGCCACGACACTGGAATGAAATAGGTTTAAAGTACAGGTTGCCTTTGAGTTTTCTTTGGACATAAGGAAGAGCTGAAACCAGATCTGCTCAAAACTGCAATTCTTAATAGGAAAGCTTAACTGCAAAGTTTGGAAGTTATTTATTACAACTAATGGGGATCCTTATAATTTATTTTTTCTCCCAGTTGTGAAAGTATGGTTCAGTTCTCTTACAGTTGACATGCAATGGTTGATTTTTAGTTACTGCAAAAGTTATGGGGTTGCCACCTCAGTAACATAGATAAGGTAGCATTCGGGGGCTGGTTTTCAAGATACCACATGCAGTTGCATTCAGATTTTTTCAAGTAACTAAATGTAAGGGGGGGGGAAAACTATTTTTGGAAAAATGACAAGATACTTTCCTTAAATGTTAACTGTAACATGAAGTAGTTACTTCCAAAACTTTGGTTCTTTAATGTTACTTTTAAAAACATAATTTTCCAAACAATACTCTCATTCTTAATGGTAGATTAAAGGTATCACCTGTTCTTGTATTTGTATTGTTTCGACAACCATGCAATCTTTTCCTGATTTCTACTCATAAGAGTTTCATAATATTCGAAGTATAGCATATCCTGTCTAGGGTAGGTTGTTAGGAGGAGGTTTTTGGAAGTAAAGTGGTGAAGAATGAGGAAAAAAAAACCATAGAAGTTATGCACAGAACATTAAGCTAGTTTTCTAAAAATAGCTTCCACTTTAAAAAAAAAAGGCAACAAAGCCAGCCCTTTGTCTTTGTGGAATGCAGTGATGTTTTTACTGGCATTTGCTTGAACTGATCTGAATAACCTGGTGCTTTGCCATTGGTGAGTGATGATCAGTGTAAACAGCACCACATCTATCCACTTCAACTAACCCTGAAAGATTCATCTTAGGATCTTCATAGGTATCAATTGTGGAGTGCAGAAGCTCAGGCAGTATGGCTGTATATATGCACAAAGACCAAAAGCAGCCGTATACAGCATGATATCCAGTTTATTAAAGCCAGCCTGCCCACGATCCTATTTGGTAGGAAGCACCGTTGAGATTAGAAGTATTTATTTCCAATTTCATAGGTTCAACTCATTAAACACATTGATCTTTAATGAAATGGAATCATTAGCTCAGGGACAGGGAACATGTCACCCTCTAAATGTCATTGGAGTGAAACTCCCTTCAAGTGTAGCCAGAGGTCCGGCCCTATCATTGGACATGCTGAAGCAGTTGTCTCAGATGCTGGAGTGATGGGGATGGCTGCTGCCCAATGCAAGACAGCCCCTGCTGCTCCCCGGTTCTGTTTTTACAATGATACTTGACTGATGTCAAGGCATTGAAGAGAAAGTGGCCTAAAAAGTCACAGCCATTGGTGTATGTGTGAGTTCATCATTATCTTTGTTTCTAGGACTATTCACAACTAGGCATTGTTGTAAAAGCAGAATAGTGAAAGATTAGGGACCATCTTGGGGCAGTATGGTGGCAAGCATGGGGGAGTCCCTGCTGCTTCTGTTTCTGCAGACACTTGAAGGAGAGGTTGCAGTGATGGTGGGACCCTAATATGTGGGCATTGCTCCTTGCTACAGGCAATAGAGATGTTAAGCCAGAGCTCCCTAATTTTTTTACCCAAGGCAGAAATTTAAAACTGCACCCCTTATACTTTTGTAGCAGTTCTTATCATTCAACAGTATACAGGTAAATAACAAGAAACACAAATGATAATAACACAGTATTTATTTTAGTCACAACAACATTAATACAAGCCAGCTGCCACTGATGACTTGAACAGTTACAACCATTTCTACCTCAAATCTTTTCCAATGCCACAAAGCCACCACTGCTTTTTAACTTACCGCAAAAGTAGGGCAGCAGGCAATTTGGAATTATGACATTTACAGTGTTTGGTTCAATTTTAATTTATAAGCCTTATTTAGTCATTTCCTACCCAGATTGGTTCACCACACAAAGCAGCATGTCTGCAGGAAATATACATCTGCTTGTGCATAGGCTCTACCTTGGAGAAAAACAATCAGAGACATCTCACCTCCGCACTTATCACTTTCCACGTTTACCCAAACATTATGGAGAAGAGAGGGGCTAAATGTGATGCGCTTGTCTGAGTACGGAATGACTAGATAGAACTTTAAAAACACACTCTTCTCTTATTGGTGTGGCATGCTTGGAATATTGGATGCATATTTTATTTTTTCTGCACTCTACAACTTTGTATGTCTCCGTTTTTCCTCATCCTTGGAAAGACATTTCCTACTTCAGATGGTCATAACTGGAGGAGTCTCCAGCATGCATGCAATTGTTAATCTTAACTAGGCTGTAAAACTCCTTTCTGAAGGAAGTTAGGCTGTTTTCATCTTTAACCACTTTCCTTGATTATGTTCACAGCACATTTGTCCTATTTTTAGGTGTACCCAATACTCTTCGGAGCATCTCTTTTGTGGTTTTTTTTTCTCCAACAATATTTGGAGACACCTTGTTTTCTCTGACCTCTGTGCATTCGTTAATTCTTTCCCCAATATTTTTCTTAATATGACCTTTCATGTACACTTTGCTAACTATTTGACTATATAGCATAAAGACTGTAAAGGGGAAGACCTGTCTCTTGTTATATATACAGTATATAATATATACTGTATATGATGTTTTTCTGGAAAGTAGTATGGGTCTCCCCCCCAACATCTCATTATTCTTTTTGCTCAGCAAGTATTGCATTTCAGGCTGACCTGTTCCAATCTCTTCTCTTTCCTTTTGCTGACACATATATTTTTTCCTTGCCTTGTTTAGAAACCAACTAGTTTCCTTCCACCAATCGAAAGCTTTCATCAATAAGAACAGGAAGGGTATGATTTTCAGTTACTGTACTTTATGCCCTACACGAATCCTACTGCTGCTTCTTTCTGGAAGGTCCTTCCATGAAGAATCCATTCAGGTTGCTATAGCCTCTTTCTCCAAAGGCCAGAAGGGCACTGCTAGTATTATCTTGCTTTCTGTCTAATATTTAGGTTCAGTTGTTAAAATGGCAGACAGGCCTCCTTAACCATGTGAGATTCTTGTTCCTGGAGTATTGTCTGTTACACCAGATGTCTTAAATCTCTAACATGTTTCCTTTCAGTTTGGAGAACTCCCATTTTTCAAAGTCATTAACTTAACCAGAACTAAACTGAATTCAGTGTAATGGGCACAAATGAACCACCAAAAACAGGAACAGGGAGCATGTGGTTCTCCAGAGATTTTTTGATTAAAAAGTCCTGTCACATTTCCCCACTGGATATGTTGGCTTTGGCTGGTGGGAGAGCCAGTCCAAACAACATCTGGAAGGCCAGATGTTTCCCTCCCCTAATCCTGAACATGGCTGAGAAGCAACTAAGGATTTTTCTGTATCCGCACAACTGTTTTATTGTGTTGTAAATGTGCATCTGTTTCTCATTTGTGGCAAGCAGTTCTCAGATTTTCCCCTCAAAACTTTGCTTCTGCTTTTGTGGTACTGCATTTCAGATCATCCCAAGCAACACTGAGTGCTAGGAAATTTGTGATAGTTCCTAGTGAGGCCATGTTCATCATCTGCTTCTGGTCATAACACGGTATTGATATTCACTGAGGCACAGATATGCATACACAAAGGTAAAATTAAAGCGGGGGAGGTATGGGCACTAACAAATATTTTATATCATGAGTTCTTCAGAGGAAACACATGGATTTTGATCTACAGAAACTCACATGGAAACCCATTGGCAAAAGTGCCACAACAATCCTTTTATTTTTGCCAATAGGCTGAGACAGAATAACATGGTTACTCCTTTGGAAACATCAAGCACATGTGTATAAGAAACGTTCTTGCACCCTAATTTAAAAAAATGCTAGTGGCCCACTGTTAGGATATAAAGGTGAAAGGAAATGTCTGCCTAATACTCAGTTACATTCCTTGTTTTTTTTTTTTAAGTAATAAATCAGAGGCATGTTGGGTTACTTACTTACTGGGAATGTAGCACGCTTGTCTCTTGTCTCTTCCACTTCACCAGTCAGAATCAGAACAACAATCCTGCCCTACCCCCACCCTGCAACCAGAACAATTAGGAAAAATCTTTCCATTGGGGCGAAAGTTACCATTTTCTTACCGAGATGAAGCGACCCCCACCACCCTTCAACTAGAACAATTAGGAAAGATCTTTCCATTGGGGCCAAAGTTACCATTTTCTTACTGAGATGAAGCTAATCTTTATTATATTCAGAAAACATCTGCAATCATTTGGCAGACAATTTTAAAATTAAAACGAAACGACATGACAAAATACAGTCTGCTGAACTATAACACACTAACCATCCTTTAAGATTAATGAAAAAGAAATCACCAATCAGATGAATAATAACTGCATGCTGTCAAGTCAATTCCAATTAATGGTGACCCTTTTTCAAGGTTTTCCAGCTAGAGATTACTCAAAAGTGGTTTCCCATTCCCTTTTTCTGGGGACATCCTGGGACTCTGGAGCTTACCCAAGGCCACAGAGGCTGGCTCTTCTACCTGGAGGCACAATGGGGAATCAAACTCTCTACCTCTGGCTCCATAGCTAGAATTTTAATTCATTCAGCTGTCTAGTCAGCTAACAATCAAATGATGAAATAGATCATTTTCCAGCAGCTAAAACAAAATACTCTGTATATATTCATGATGGTGATACAAGTTCTATCGCCACTCTATCCTGTCTTTTTAAAATAAATGGGCTAAAATGGTAAGTCAGCATCTTCCAAGCCAGATATCCTCGGGACATGCTGGACAACTCACAGCATTCTTAACCATCACCATTGTGCCTGAGATGCTGGAAGCTGTAATCGAACACATATGGAGGAGAGCAGGTTGGGGAAGGCTGACCTTTAAGCAGTACCTTCCAAAGTTCTTTTTCAGAGCAAGTGCTGTTGTTAGACCAGGTCTGTATATTTGTTTGTCTGTTTGTTTAATTGGACTTCTACCCCGCCCACCTAGAACAAAGGTCTACTCTGGGCAGCATTACAAACTTAAAAATAGTTTAAAAAACCCCAGTGAATATATACTATAAACCCAAGATGGCAAAATGTGAATTTAAGATTCGGCAGGAGGGAAAGCCTGCCCAAATAGCCAGGTCTTGACTTTTCTTCTGAAGATACCCAGAGTGGGAGCCAGGCGGATCTCCATGGGCAAGTTGTTCCAGAGGCAAGGGGCCACTGCCAAAAAGGCCTGGTTCCTCGTTCTTTCCTTCCGGACCTCCCTCAGTGTTAGGCCCCTCAGCCGCCCAGCCTGGCTGGAACGAGTGACTCTGGCAGAACTGGGTGGGTTAAACTAAATAAATATTTAGTTTATATCAAACTAAAAGCAAACAATGATCATGTGTTGGGACCCAGTAGTCCTCATTTTTTTTTAGTGCCGGCCTTGGAACTGTGATTGATGGGGTAGTGCCATCAATCACCTGGACAACTTACTATAAATGATTGATCAGCTTTATTCGCCTTGGCTGGTCACAAAATGCCCCGAGCCAATCATATTTTATTATGCAGAAAAAAACAATTGTGAAAAATACTCACATTTCTTGGCTTGCTAGATAAAAAGTGAAGGTTTTCATATGTGTACTTGTCAGATCTCCTTTGGCGCATCTTGAACAGTCGTGCTCCTCTGTTACTAAGAAGTGACAATTCTTCCAGCATGATATCTCTGGGGATACTAACCTTTTTTCCAAGGTCAATACCAGGGGATTCTGCAAAATAACACAAGCCGATGCTTATTTAAAACATCTTTTAAGTTATTAGCATGATCCAGTCAAGATTAAACGCTAAGTCCCACTGATTTCAGTAAGAAAGTCAAGCGTATACTTACATCTTTTCCACACTAATATTTGACTTCCCTCATTTCTCAAGTACAGAATGCAATTGCACTATACTTGAGGAAAGAATCCTTTATATGCTATCACAGTTACATAAGCTGATTGGACTGGAGTCTGGACCATCTCATTTTATGAAAGGAAAGGATGTTTTCCCCATAGTTAAATACTTCTTATTTTATATTTCTGAAAGATCTTTGTAAACAAACATTAAAAAAACACTCTGGCCAGATACACCCAGGCAATGGGATATTCAAACAGAATTTTCTAAAAAGTAACTTCTGCTCTTAGCCTGTCACTTGTTTGAAAGTTCATGGTGACAAGCAAAAGCTCAGAAAATGTTTTCAAACAATCATTTTCAAAGTGCGAAAATCATGGGATATCTTATTTTGCAGCAGTAAAGTTAATAAAAGGACATGGTGGTGCTGCGGGTTAAACCATAAAGTCCCTGGGCTGCAAGGTTGTAAGATTAGCAATTTGAATCCACATGACAGAATGAGCTCCCGTCGCTGTCCCAGCTCCTGCCAACCTAGCAGTTCGAAAGCATGTAAAAACGCAAGTAGATAAATAGGTACCATCATGGTGGTAAGGTAACAATGTTCCATGTCTAGTTGCGCTGTCCATGTGACCACAGAAACTGTCTACAGACAAAATGCTGGCTCTACGGCTGGAAACGGGGGCGAGCACTGGCCCCTAGAGTCGGACATAACTGACTGCCCCCTAGAGTTGGACACGACTGAACAGTTTGTCAAGGGAAACCTTTACCTTTAACTAAAGTTAATAAGATAAACTAATTGATGCATTAATACAAATTGTGGAGGTCTGAAACATTTAGGGGGTCACTTTTCTGGTTACTGAATCTAAAGCCTTGATCCAGCAAGATCTGAAGACGTACAAAATTCCAGAAACAACCCAAAAAGGCCTTTAGTTATAGATTATTAATCCTTTGGAAGAATAATTCCTCTAATTTTTTTTAATGGCATAATTTTAAAATAAAACAACGGAAACAAGTAAAATCTTTTCACACCCTCATATAAATATTCTGAATTATGATCCATAAACTATATGAAGGCATTTTCTATTTATCCACTTACAACAGCCCAGCCCTGAAATGTGTTCAGATTTTTTAAAAGTCCTTTGATTTAGTCTTGAATTTATTTGAATCCTAAGCATAATTAACAGAGATGGGAAGTCCCACTGAAGTCAGTGGGTTTCACTTCTGAGTAACCATGCATTGGATTACACTGAATGTTTGCTTTAATAAAAGGTCTATTTGAGTGTTTTTTGTTTTTGTTTTGTTTTTTGCAAACTGACCACTCATGATGCATGTTGCTTGCTTGTGTTTGTTAAATATTTGAGTTGACTAATCTCTCAGAAACATGCTACCCACTGCCTTTCTGCTTCAGTGCTGCCTTTCATTGGCCATTTTGTGTTTCAAGCAAGGATCCAAACCACTTTGTATGTCTAGGCAGCTTCCCAGAAATGCTAAGTGTAAGATTAATTGGAGGCTTCTGTCAATTAAAACTGATTCTATTATCTGCCTGGATTAAACTATGCATAGATTTATGCATTGATGTTTCCTGAATAAAACAGGGGAAGAGAACAGGGGAAGGGAGAGGGAAATGGGGCAAAAAACCCAGGGTGATCTCATAGATAAATTCATTTAAGAAGAAAAAAAGAAATGAATTGACTAAGCCTTGCCTACAAAATAAGAGTTACCGTAAATAACTTGCTAATAGGGATCTTTGATTTTATCTGTTGTTTTCTTTTACTGCCCCCTTCCTATTTCAAATACAATGATATTAATTATGATTTTAGCTTCTTTGTTCACAGCAACCTGTTATGTCATTCCTCCAACTTTGTTTAAACTAGGTTACGCACACTAGTGTATAAGCAGAAAGTGTAGTGAGTTCCACAGAGGACTTGGAAACAGCTCAGTCAATCTTCCCTCAAAGGTCTAACTGATAAACTCACAGGGCATAGATTGTTTCCAGCACTGGAACCATTGGTCTGTTTCCAACATATGTCTTTCTCCCTCAGTCTTTAGGCCAAACAGCTATAACATAGTGAACGTCAGCTAGAAGACTGGTGGAAATATAGTGTTTTATAAATGGCTAACTGTGGCTGATTTTGCATAACTGTGATTTCATTTGATACTTTAATACAGGTTATTCTGCTTTGCTCTTTTCATTTCATCATTGCATTGTACTATGTTACAATTCATTGATTTTCCTTTGATTTCCTTTCAATCTTATTCTCTGTTTATCTGTTATGATTTAAATAAATCTTCCAATTAATTACACCGGTGGATAGCCTCAGATCATCTCTGGTTACTCCTTCAAGGACCTCATTTTTTCAGCCTTAACAACATTATCCACCCACAAGATCAAAGTGTTGGAAGAGGCACAACATTTGCAGATTCACTAAAAATCTTTAGTGAAAAAGAAACATGACACCTTTGGTGGGTGGATAGCCTCAAATCAGCCTAATATTCTGGGCCAAAGTGGCAATTAAGAGGAATGC